AGTCTTAAAAGAAGATAATATTCTATTCCACACTTCACTAAGAGCAGAACACAGAAGCTTCCTCTGTCAATTAACTGGCTAGTGTTGCGACCTCCGACACAAAAAAACAAGAACTTTACAACACTGAAAAAAGAATCTTTACACAGGTAATTTACAGTAATCACACCCCTTGATTCACGCCTGTGCTCCATTACACCGCCGGAGAAGGTGGTGGCGCCGCCCCTTCGCCGCGTTCGATATCCGGCATAGTTCCCGATACGCAGAGAAATCGACGAAGCAAGACGATCCGGTTGATGGGCCACTTTAGAGCCTGCCCTAACCCTAGCCCCTCGGCATCTCCGCTCAAACGCTCGATTCCTCCCTGCGGAACCTCGATCGCGACTTCACCTTCGCCGGAATCGGAGGAAGACGAACCGATTCCTTCCCTCTGCAGGCACAACGAGCACAAATCCGATACCGATGGCACCGCCTCGACGACGGCGCGGCAGAGGGGGCAATTGGAGTGAGACGAAAACCACATATCGATGCAATCGATGTGGAAACTATGGCCGCATACCGGGAGTTTGCGGATCTTCTGGCCGTCTTCGAATTCGTTGAGGCAAACTGCGCAATCGCATTCGTCGAGCTCGCCGTCATCGCCGGCGCTAGGGGAGAAGAGGAGGATAGGAAGGGATTTGAGGATGGCGGGATCTATTGCGCGGTTGGAGGCCGGAGACTGGTTTTCTCCGGCAAAAATGAAACGTCGGCGGCGGCGCCTGGCGCGGCTGGTTGCGCGGCGGATAACGTGCCAGCGGACGTAGAAGTGGAGGAAGAGGATGAGGAGGATGATGGAGAAGAGGATTACGATGGCGCTGAGCATGATTTTGCCGCTGAGGGCGTAGCTGTGAGGCGAAGGAACTCCGCCGCCGCCCCCGGCGGAGGTTTTCCGGACGCTGTGGGGATAAGGATTAGGGTCCATTTCTTCGCTGTCCTGTCTGCGCTAGTTTTGTCAAGGTAGCAGAGTGGGGATTGGGGAGAGAGAGCGGAAAACGGGGGCTTCTTTATAGGATTTGAAAGGCAAACGGGCCGCTGCGTTAGTCAATTTTGAAATATTATGGCATAAGATGTCCGATCCTGACTGTAAATCAGACGATCTATGATCAAGATGTATTTCAGTGACTCTCATCTAAAATTTAAAAAAAAAAATTGAAATATATCCTGAACGGTCAGAATCTGACACCGCATGTGTTTGCAATAATTTCTCGTCAATTTGAGGGAAAAAAGCATTTTAATACATATTTTTATTAAAATAAAAAATGCTTATGTATTTTGAACTTCTTAGATATATTTTAAGATGGTTTCAATATAGATCTAAACAAATTAAAATTCATCTTTATAAGTTTTATATCAGGATAGTCTGATATATTTTTATATAATATTTAGGGTATTTATGTTATATCATTTCAATTTGGATAATTGTTTTGTTGCTGATTTTTAAAAATTTATGTGGTATAAGGATGTTTTTTTTTTTTCTTTAATTGAACTATTATAATGCGGTGGTTGCAAGAAAGTTGTGAAGTAACTTTTTCAAAATAAAATAAATTTGTAATTGTCACCGTAATTTTTTGAAGTGCTTCTTCAAACAGCTATAGCCCCAAACAGACTCTTAATTACTTCGTTTTGATTTATAGATAAATTTAAAAATATTTAAAATAATTATTATCAACATATAATTAAATATTAAATCATTTAAATAAAATTATGAAATTTTCTCTTAAATAATACTCAAAGATAAATTACAAGAAGAAAGAGAGAGTGTGTGCATCGTAAGACTAAAGCTTCTAGAGTTTTATTACTTATTTATTAATTCTCTAATGTAAAAATGACTCATATTTATTAGCAAAGAAGAGTTTAAGGAGTTCTATTACCATCTCACCCATGTTTTGGTGATGACGTTATGGGGAAATTTGTCATAAGCAAATAAATAAACATTTAATTAAATAAAAAGTCTTCAGCTCAACTCTTCCTAATCCTATTATTAGGCCGCTTGGGACCAGTAATCCCTAGATCGGCGAAGGCTGCTCGGCAGA